GATCCACCTGCGCATGGCGTGCGGCAGCGTGACGAGCTGGCCCGAACTCTACCAGAAGATTTACTCGTGCGCGCCCTCGCTAGACCCTCGCTTTTGGCGCCCCTGCTAACTGCCGCAGACATCTCAAGCCCGGCACCGGCTGGATAGAGCACATTGAAATCGACATGGAGCCGCGCTGCGACGACTACACGCTGCCCCCGGACAGCATGCTCACCAAGTGGTACGGCTGGCTGGCCGACGCCACGCAACGAGTTTCGCGCCCAATCGCCTACGAACACCGCACCCGCCAGCTGCTGCAGGCCGCCGGCTTCATCGATATCCAGGAGACGGTTATTCGCGTCCCCTACAACACATGGCCCAATGACCCGCACCAGAAGGATATTGGGAGGTGGTACAACCTGGGCCTGACCGAGGGTCTGGAGGCGCTAACCTTTGCACCTCTCACAAGGGTCTATCAGTGGGACCTCAACGCGCATGTCAGGCCAGTGCTCGAGAGTGTTCGCAGGGAAATCTGCAACCGCAAAATCCATGCGTACAACAACATGTAAGTCACGCACCAATCCGCGCCTGCCCACGCCCACTGACCGGCCCAAAGCCACATCTGGACTGCCCGCCGTCCCCAGCAGTAGCATCTCGCACCACCCTTGTACCACTCTGTTCATGGATAGTTTGCCTGCCCGCTACACAGGTAGCCCCTGCCAGGCACCCACCTAGCCCGGACTGGCTTTCCCCCGACGCTCTATCGAGCGCATCAACGCGACGGCCTCGTTACACCTGGACTCTAGAGATGCTTCCAGGATGTTGTGCATTCCGCGACACCATTTTTAGCCTCACTTTCGCCGATCCCATGGCTCACGCACCAGCGCGAACCACCTCGGAACAGGGGATTTTGCCTCTTCTGCCTTTCCTCGCGTCGACTTGCTCTTCACCTAATGGCGCATCTTGCGGTAGGGAAAATCGGGTCTTCTTTGGGCGACTACCCCAGTCTGGCGTTATGGCATGTTAAGAATATGATACCTTGATACCTCGGTTTCCTTGCGACAAAACGATTTGTTTGCCTCTATCTTCACGAGAGCATGGCGGTCTCAGCGCGTCAGCTTCGTTGTGCATGTCACGTCCTTTTGCGTCGGTGCAGCGCACACGACGCGAATCATGGTGGATTGCATGCGGCCTTTTGGCTCTTTTCTGACGAGCATGTTGTTGTTTTTTTAGCGGAGCGCTCAGGACCCTTGGTGTGTCCCCTTTCCTCGATAGCACGAGCAGTATATAATAGCTGGAATATACCCCCACTTCCTCTCATAGAGTTTATCGCAACGCCTCTCCTGAGAAAGTCTGTCGGAAGTATCGACCCTCTGGGAAGGAGCCATGACGTCGCACAGGTGGCAATGCACTTTATCACTTGTCCGTGGTTTATACGCTGCTGCCACGCGTCGCCGTTCCGACGTTGTGGGCACTCTTGGCTCTGGTCCAGGATGTCCTCTCGAAGATCTGTAACGGTGGAGACCCAGCGGCGCTTCTACACAAGACGGCGGGACGCATAAGATGGGCGCGTATTGTTTCAGTGTTGCATCGCTGCCTCTCGAGGCCCAGGGTGCCGGACCGATCCATTCTGGAGCAATAATAGCAAGCGAGCTGCAGCATGCCATGGCCAACATGGGTGTCTATCGCCCATGCAGTTGCATGCACGATATACTAGACGGCTGCAACTACGATGTCCGACGGCGCGCGCCCAGTCTAGCAGCTGGACAGTCCAGTGCATGACTCGTATGACGTTTGCAGCAGAGGCAGCAAGTTTGTCGAGGTGGTGGTATGCGGGGTGGGAATGGGGGCGAGGGCGAGGGAAAAGGCGTGCGTTCCGATGCTTTGGGCCGGCCGAGGCTTCTGAGGCTTCTCCCGTATCCCGCGTATGGTGCCTTCCGCGGACCCTCCAGGGAAGAAGGGAAGGAACGGCCGGCCGCCCACTCGTAGGAGGAAAGGGCGCATCACTGCATCTACCGTCTGGACTCGGACCTACTCACTCTCCGGTCTTCGCGTACTCCAGCGCACGCTGCATGCCACTGCAAATGCGAATGCACCCACGGAAAGCAAACCCATGTTTTCCGCGCTCCCCTTTGCCCACACCCCCATCCACGACGCATCGCAATCTTGCGCCGCGTGCAACCAAACAACGCGTCACGTTCGCGCGACCTGCTAACGACATGGAGAGGCGCCATGTCACCATGTTTGATAACCACGGTCCTTTCTCGGTGCATCCCTCAGCCTGTAATGCGCACACCATTGTCAGTGATCGCCGCACAATGTTCTGACATGTCCGGCACCGCCGTGACAGCTCGCCGGTCGACATCGGCATGAGCAGGCGTTGCCGACGCGCTCTGCCTGCATCGTGACCGCCAATTCGTCACAATCGCGTATTGCATCTGCCATCGCCTTTCGCCAGACCACCGGACTCTGCGCTTCCTCCGAGAACCACGCCTCCCCATCCCCGCAACCGAGCCGCACGTGTAGGGGACCGCTTTTCACCTCCGCCGATTCCGTCCTGCCCTGCGTCTATCTTCTCTTCCTTTCGAGCGGACGCGACAGCCATGTGCGCACCATCAAGGCATCCACCTCGTCTACCAAACTCCTCCTCTGCTCCAACCTATACACCGCCAATGTGACTGGCGAGCGCTGCAAACTCTATTCCGCCCTAGGACCCAGTCCATGATGCGATTCCCACCCTCCGCTGCCCTCGTTACCGATGGCGAGGTCCTGCCGCGCAGCATCTCACATAGTACACCGACGTGCTGCGCCGGCCCTGCGCCACTATTTCCGCCTGTCACCACGCCGCCTGTATCTTACCACTCTCCCGGATAATCTTCGCCCGCTGCGAACCGCAGTCGCCGACCTAATCGCTGTGCGATATACACACTTGTCCGGTGCTAGCAGAGAATGGTGGAAATGAAACTTTGGCCTCGCTGATCTCTCCGCGCTCCGTTCCCAGTCGCATCAGCTGTCAGGTCGAAAAAAATCTTTGCTGCAGAATACATATGCACGACGTTATGGGATTACACTAGCCCATCTGCCGGTGAGCGGCAACCGTTTGCCTGGTCCTTCGACGTGTTGGTGGCGTGGTTACAACCAACCGTTCGGATCCTCTCCCAGCTCCCAGCTCCCAGCAACAACAACGATGGATTGCTATATTCGGCCCATCTTGTTCGCTCTCGGAGGCAGCGACATTTTACATTATGCAAGGGCGCGCCTTTCGATCCTGCTCGATCCTGCTTGATCCTGCTCCACGGATCCAATGAGCTTTATCCCTCTTACACGATCAGCCAGCCAGCCAGTCAGCCTGCAGAGTGACTGGCCCCACGGACCGGATCCCTCGCAGGTCCCGAAGATGGTCCGCATTAGTTCCCACTGACTTGGTCTTCCCTCGAAGTCCGTCCGTTCGACTCAGTCAGCTCACATTCCCATCGCTTACACTGAGGAAACATTCCGCACCATGCCACCCTAGGCGACCACTTTCCTGTAAGTTTCCGACTCCAGTTTATCCTTTCGTTCATTCGGACCCCCACTATGATGACAAACGCTGGGGCCATAAGAGTTCCTCTCCGCTTCCTCATCTCGCATGGGGAAGTGGATTGCAGGAACAGTGCTTTCAAACACCAGCAATATTCTACCAAGAATCTTCTCAACTTTTCTGATATTCCAACAAACCACGCACTTCAGATAGCGCTTACGGCAACGTATCCAAAGCTAATCATTGGTCAGGGTCGAACACTCCGGTGCTAAAGCTAGTGCTCTTGTAGCAACTTTAGCACACCTACTAGCGGAAAGCTTGGTACATTTAGTTTCGACTCGGTTAAGAGGAGATCTTGAATCGAGGGTCTGGTATCGGAGAATAGGCAAGAACTGGGAAGGTGCCAGAGGTATGTGACACCGCTCGCGTCGCATCTTTGACTCTACACGGCGGTACCGCGTCTGCGGGATCTGCATAGCCGTCGATCCAGGCCGTTCACCTCCGATGACGCGATTCATGAGCCCACAGCGTGGGCATGGGATTGTTCGCGTTGCCGATGATCGTCGGGGAGGTAGGTCGTTGAGCTAGGTGTCGCATTCGTATAGCAACTCATTTAGGTAGGAGAGGTACGTACCTACGTATACACGGCCGTGAACGGGTGAGTCGTCAAGCCGCCTACGCATCTCCAACTCCAAGCGTACGAGTAAGCGCGTGGAGAAAATCAGGAAAAGTCCGTGGAGAAACTCGAGTAAGTCCGTGGGGAAATTGCACTGACACCGTGTAGCAAAACCTCAGTCATGCCACCGCCATCGACTCATGAAACCCCTATTCCGCTACCTTCACCACGGACAGCTGAATATCACCGTATCCGAAACACCAGCTCTACATCCACACGACTGACCTTTGGGTACGCAAAGCGCGTCACCTGCCTCACGTATATGTCTTGTTCCTCTCGCTACACTAACATCGCCCTACTCCAACTACTCCAACATTTGAAGCTACTAGAACCACGCCTTCTCTTAGTCCCCGTCCTTGCGGTCAGGCCAGCTCTCAGGCGTTATTTGACATTGAGCTGGTCGTGATATTTTCCGCTTTGGTACTCTAGTATCCGCGGTCGATCTTGGCTCCCGCTAGCTTGTAGAACTAGTTACTGCACTCCGTGGTTTAGCTGCTGTTAGGTTGCATTATTGCGGTTCGCTTAGGGAGGGTAGTATCTATGGCTGTGGCTTGTGGGGATGGGAGATGAGAGTCTGGTCGAGGGCTTGAACTTCTTTTGGGGGCTTCCACGTGGAATGGGTTTAGAGTAGCAGGTAGTTTAGTGTATGATATGCCCAGGCAGATATGTGCCAATCACTACTAGTCTACTACTGCGTCTGTGCCAGCTGAAAACGACCTTGGCATCTGAGTATGAGAGCTATCCTTCTTCCCTGGTTGGGTACTTTGGTGTTGAGTGCCAACTACAATATACAACCGTGTCGTGCTCTTTCTGTCCACCTTATGGTCAGGAACAAAGGTTCTTGAGACACTTGATAAGGCTGTATCGCGTCTCGCCACTCCAGCCTTCTGGCATGCCATAGCTCACGAACCCATTCATGTCCCTTTCCGGTCTCCACGTCCTCGCCCTCACCATCTCTTGTAGCCAAGCAATATCCACTGTTTCCGCCGTCTTGTCGTTATTCCGAATATCACTGAGGAACCCTCGATTTCCCCAGGAGGTGACCCGCGCGGGGAGACAGTCGTGGTTGAGCTCAACCTCTACCATAGGATCGCGAACCGCCAGTGTGACCCTCAGCGAGTGCTCCATCAGAACCAAGACATGCTTCCGGATCTCGCCCAATTTTGTAGTATGGTCCTGGGTCTCACCAAGGCCGCATACGCGAACGATGATCGTAGTATAGGCTGGGAAGACGCAGGTAGCCCGCAGCAGATCCCTTGCGTTGATACGAACTTTAGCCAGGTGTAGCGGCTTGTCTGTCTGGAATCGTAGAACGATAGTTGGCGCAATTTTATATACCTGAGATGCTGAGATTGGTGTACAGCGCTGCAGTCTGCCCATGTATGGGGGGGCGTAATAGTCTGCAGTGCGGCGCTCAAGTTTCTCAAACATGGCCTCGGAAGATGAGAGAGTGGCTGAGCCTAGGATGATAACAAAACGGCGTTGTTGATGAAAGTGATGAAAGTCCATAAGCATCATCTTACGGAGGTGGGAGTTGATGTCGAGCATACTGAAACCGAGCCCATGCGAGATACCCGTGCTGAAGTCGTATGTGACCTCATGGTTACTGTACACAGACCTAGCAATGCGTTCCAAGATTTTGGAAGGCAGATCGAGAAGTTTAGGATGGCTCGGCTTGAGTACGTATCTCTGGGTGTTCTTCGAGAACTGGAATCCCCGTCTGACACCGGCCTTACCATTACTCGATCGAAAGTCGATGAAACCTTGCTTGCCGTGCGGAGCCACTTCGATGTCGCTTATTAAACGGCGTGCTTTCATCAACCTCAGCTTGTCCATATTTCCCAGCTCATATATGACTTTGGTGAGAAGCTTGAGGTTAAACCGGGATGGGTAGGAGGAGGAAAAGGCATGATTGCGATTCCTAATACTCTCGAAACGAACGGACAGATCGCATGCAACTCCACCCCAGAAGACGTCGAGCAATGGCGTGATCTTGATGTTGTTCAGAGAGCACCGGTAAAAGTGATCCCAGAAATCAAGATCGTCATAAACATCTGGTATATCTGGCATGTCCATACGGATGGTGACAGTACGCAGGTTTGAGAGACTCGATCCGATATCTCGCGTCCATTTCCGATATGCGTCTATCGGAGTGAGGATCTTCCCGTGTTGAAGATGCAGTATCTTGTAGTCAAATTGGAACACATTTTGACCATAGAGAACGCCGATTGCTTCATGGTAAATTTGACGGCAAGTCTGAAGGATGGCTGAGTTACCCGCGAAGCTGCTGGTTTTGATTGATGAGTCGTCTGCGTTGTCCACAATCACAATAGGCCTATCGTCGACCAGTACGTATTCGTAAATCTGGTTGCGGAGTTCGGCCGGGATGGTGAGGAGTGAGGTTGCAGCCGGATTGCTGATTTGGGAATACACTTGTGCGATCTGCCCGTGGATGGGCTTCGGCAGTGGAAAGTGCATGATGGAGTGAGAGACGGCCCTTCAGCTTTCAAGTAGTCGAGCGGCGACGGCAACTGTCATTCGTTAGTAAATGCATATCCAAAATAACGCAGGTAGAGTGCTTACCAGATGGCTGTGAGCGTGTTTGTATGCGATTGCAAGACGCGCGGGTGCGGTGTATCGTGTGGCCCTACAATGCGAGGGAAGCGACGATGGGTATGTGAGTGTCGGTGTTCAGGAATTCGCAGTGAGGTTGTTGTGCTTGAGCTTGGACCTTAATTTTCCTAAGAGGGAAGAGCACCTACCTAGGTAGGCAGCGACTGTTTGCACTAGCGCGCCAGGAAGGTGTTTCGTTTACCCTACACTACGTCATCTTCTCATATCTGTACCCAGGTGATGAACAGTCCACTGGCAATAAGCCTGGACACTGACGGCGACGCACGACCGCAATTACTGGATGATGCGAGTCAATTAATCTAAGGTACATCGGTCACAACGGCTAGGTGGTGCAGATGAAAGACACGTAGTGTGCAATATCCATGTAGATGTTTCGGAAGTCATGATGGATTCTACGCTCCTATGTGCGGTGAGGTTTAGTTACAGGGTATGCCCAGGCACATGTGTGCTAAGCAATGCCAGATCAACGCAAGAAGGAAAGTGAATCCACACTGATAGAACCTGTGTTCTCACGGCCTTTGCGCTCGAGCTTAGAATCTCTTCGCGAGCAGCTTCGGTCGTGTACACTTGTGTGTATGGTAATATTACACTTCAGTGACGAGCCGATAAAGACGCCAAAGAATAGTATACATCGTCTGGTCCTTCCACTCCTCCTGATCATATGTTTCTCCAGGCCAGTTCCTTGCGCACCTCAGACGCGAGTGACCGTCCTTTGGAGGATTTAATTGCGTGCACCACCTATGATCGCGCTTATTGGACAACCAGGTGAACTCCTCTGAGTCCAAATTCTTCAAGATAACCGCTTCGGAAGACTGTGGACCTTCGTCGGTCTTCCGGATGGTCGCTTGTATGGGGACACACTGGCTGTTCAGCTCAACCTGAACGCCTAGCTTGCGGGCTTCTGCCGCCGTTTCGGGCTCTAGATGCTTCAAAAGTAGGTAGGCGCTCTTTCGGATATCGCCCAATCTTGTAGTGTGATCTCGGGTTTCGCTATGGCTACCGCATACACGAACGATGATCGTAGTGGTCGCCATAAAGACCGAAGTGACACGTAGAAGATCCCATGCATTGATGTGAACGGCAGCTAGATGCGGCGACTCCTTTGTATGAAACTGCAAGATGATCGTCGGTGCGTTTTCGTGAAGCACACTTGCTGAGACGGGATGACAGCCTAGCAGTGACTGACAGAACTGTAAACGACGCTGCTGATAAATCTCTGCGATGCGACGGTCAAGTCTCTCAAACATCGCTTTGGAAGACGAGGTCGATTCAGAAGCCAGGATTAGGGTATAGCAGATCTTGCGTAGGAACCACGGTCCAGCAAGCCTGCGAAGCTGAGTATTGACGCTAAGCATGCCGGGCTGGTGTCCATGGGTGATACCGGTGTGGAAATTGTACGTGCACTCTTGATCACCGAGTGCAAGACGAATGATAGCATCGGTGATATTCCAAGACAGGTCGAACAGAGTCAGAGGATTTTGCAAAGGAACGATCTCGTAACGCTGGGTCCCCATCGATAGCCTGAATTGGCGTTGTATGGCGCCTTCATAATGTGTCGAATGATAGACAATGTTGCCTTGGCTACCGACTGCATCCACATGAACACTTTCCAGAAAGCGGCGTGTTTTCTGCAAATCCAGTGAATCTTTACCCCCTAGCTCAGACAGAACGTTCGTTATGGACGCCACATCAAGCTCTGGCTCTTCGAACTCTGAGTCAGAATCGTCTGGTGCATCGTTCACAAAGTTCTCCAGGATCTCAAAGATGACTGATGTGCTGCGTGAGTCGCTGTTCCAGAATACGTCGAGTAATGACAGAATGTTTATGTTCTCGCGGGAAAACTCGCGAACCTTCTGTTCCAAGTCGTAGTACCCATACTCTTCAGACCATCTGGGCACGTTCATGTTGATGGTGATATTGCGCAACTTGGGAAGACATGAGCCGACATCGTCTATCCATTCTGTGCACACCATGACGGGACTAGTGATTTCAACGACGACCTCGTCGTCAAAGTGTAGGTTGTATTGAAAGTGGAAGGCGTTGCGGCTATAAAGAATACCGATTGCTTCATGGTAGACCTGACGGCAAGTACGAAGGATAGCAGAGCTTCCGCTGAAGTCACTAGTCTTCTTGGTTCTGGTCTTCTTGTTCAGCCTGTCCTCTGCGTTCTCGATTGTTATAGGGCAGAAATCCACGAGAAGATACTCATAGATCTGGTTTCGCAGTTCCGGCGCGATAGTGAGTAGTGGTGAGGATGCGCCAGGATCTCCCGATACGGAGGGCGCTTGCGCAATCCGGGTACGCTTGGGTTCAGGAACCGGAAAGTGCATGGCTACAGTTCAAGACGGGATGGCGCCGACGTCCGGGTGTTGTTTTTGGAGTAGGTGCGACTGGTGGATATTAGTAAGTGTACAAAATACAATAGCCGGGATGAGCAACGACTTACCGAATAGCCTGCAGAGCTGTTGCATGCGACGGCGGCACGAGTGAGTGTAACGTGTTGCTGGGTTTCTGTACAAGACGACAGAAACGGTACCGAGGTAGAGGTTGGGTGAGTCGCAGCGACTTTGTAGCGCATGAGCTTGGACCTCGCTTGTTGTGGAAGGAAAGAGCGACGACGGTTTGCCTCGGGGGGCAAAGGCGTCTCTCACTTACCTGGATTACGTCATGTTGAAACGATACATTCGGAAAACATGATGACAGTGAGCGACTGACAAATCTGATGCCAAAAGAGAAGCGACAATAGCTATCGCATGAGAGGACGAGATACCCTGCGGACGGTTCCACTTCCAATGCGCGCAGATACTAGCAACATGAGTTGCATCTTCATAACAACAATACAATCGCATTCGGATCAAACGACATCTAAATACGGCCCCTCTCTAAGAACTTCTTCGGCAAATCCACAGTCTTCGCCCGCATATACTCCATAGCATCTATCGACTGGTTAGCAAATGGCACTCACCCAAAGCCCCACTCAATGTACTTACTCTTCCCCAAAGTATCATACGAAGAACACGTATTATACCCACCATCCCTAAGATGATCATGCAGCAAAAAATGCACCGACCGAATCCCCGCAATCTCAAACCGGTCAATTGGCTTGCCCTGGTACTCGTCCTTACCCAAAAGCTGCTTAACGCGCTCGATCGTCATGAACGAGCGAAGCCAATCCCACTCATCGTCGTGGCGCACGAAGAAGCCGCAGTTGCAGTCTGATGCTTTGTCTCCGGAGCGGCCGGCTACGATGTAGCCTAGTGGTGCGCGCACTGTCTCGCCGAAGGAAGATAGATCGACTGGGGAGCCGGTTTCGTAGGAGGCTTGTTGGCGGGGGTATTCTTTTGTGATGGCGGGTGGGCTGAGGTTGGTGGACGTTTTGTTGCCGTACATGGTGTGAACGCGTAGGGGGAGTTGGTCTTGGGGGAGGAGCGAGACCCAGTAGTCGTAATAGGGCTTTGGTGCGATCTGGCGCAAGTCGTTCGATAGCGACAGACCGGGGGCAGATTGGAGGAATACTTCGAGACACCAGCGGTTGAAGCCGTTGGGGATGTCGGGTCGTACTAGCTCGGGGTCGGAAGTCTGGGCGAAGATGCGGAAGTCGACTGTTGCTACGTCTTGATTGCTGGCATCAATTGGCGAAGAGCCGTTTTGGTGGAATCTTAGTGTCTTGAAGCGGTTTACGTTGTCGCCCATAGCTGCTCATATTAGTCTCGCGTTGCATGTATGGAAACAACGCGTGCTTACCGTAGCGGATTTGGTCTTCAGTAATCTTGCACTTCTCCTCGATATCAAGACCGCATACAAACATATGCCACTCGCATTGCCACCCAGCTGGAGCAGTAATACCTACCTTGGTCGTCGGTGGCGGGGGAAGACCCTTGACTCCCGTGACACGCACGAGATCTTCACCCACTTGCTCCATCTTGACATCGGTGATATCAGCCGTGACGTCACAATTGTAGTATAGCGGTCCCTGAATCTCGTACAATAGTTGTGAAGTGCATGTTCCGACGGTCACGCAACCTGTTTACGTTAGCTGCGTATCATTTTGGCTCAAGGTGCCGCCACCTACCTCCGGTATCTTTCTCTTTCGCAATGTTGAAGCTACCATCATATTCGACTTCCGCGATGGGAAAGCCCATGTTGATGTGCTTGCCAGTCTTCATGAGATCTTTGAACATGGAGTAGTATCCTCCCGTAACGTAGGCTGAACACTCTACAAGATGGCCTGCTATGAGCGCTCCGGCAAGTTCGTCAAATTGATCGTTCTTCCAGTCGTGCCACCAGCTGAACAAGTTAGCAGAGGCCGAAATAGTATCGTAACGACTTACGCCGCGGCACCAATGACCGGCGCAGCATCTGCGAGCCTTCCACCAAGCACGATATCAGCGCCCTGTCGAAAAGCCTCTGCTATGCAAAGTCCTCCCAAATACGCCTGTGCGCAGATTGGCTGCATTCCCCATTCCTCTAGCTTCTTGCCATGCATTAAGCTTTCGAACTTCTCTCCCTTTTTGATAAGACTGTTGACCTGCCCAGTCACATCGTCTCCTTCTATCCATGCCACTTTGAGGTGACCAGCACCCGCTTTCTCCAACATATCGACTACAACTTCAGCGAGAAGTTCAGTATCTGAAGCACCAGCATTCACCGCGAGCTTCGTCTTGTTCTTGACTAGATTCGGTATCGCTGGCTCGAGGCATTGGATGAAGGTATCGGCGTACATGGCGTTCTTCTTTCGGTCTTCAAGGCTCGTCGTGCCATTGGTGCTCTTCATAGGCTTCTGCTTTACTTTGCCGCTACCATGTACGGTCATGGTCATTTCGGATAGCCAATCGCCTGTTCGTGTCAGCTCGAAATCCTCCATAGCCGGCTTTCAGGGGAGTCTTACCCATCACAACATCGACCTCCGGATCACCCGCCATCCTCATAATAGCAGTCGAACGATCCGTAAACCCTCCCGAGCATCCTGCGATGCGCACAGCGCGCTTGCGGTCAGTAGAAGGAGACATTTTCACTCGTTTGGGGTTCGGCGCCATGTATGTCTCGTAAGAAATCTAATAAGGGATCAATTGCTCCTAACGGAGGGTCTCAAAGCTATATACCAGGCCGTCCAGGACCGGCTTTCCGGGGTACGGCAAGCCATCGAAGCTGTAGCAGGGCCGTTCCTTTGGTATCGTCCAATGGCGGCTATGCATAAAGGTAGCGCGACACTCATGTCATGCCCTGGGAGCTACTCGCGGATAATCTTGAACGATGGAAGACGATTTCCTGAGAGCTTATGGCGGGGTTGCGGGGAAGGAGACGGACGCGAGCGCGCGGTGCTGCTGAAGGCCCAGAACTGACTTCATTATGATACCACCAACGGTGTAATTCGAATGCGATGTCTTCATAGTTGAGTCGTCGATTTGCGCATAAAGCCGACGCGTGTTTGGCTTTCGCGAGTTGGTGAAAGGAAGAGGACTGTGACGCGCGATGTTCGCGATCCGGCTAACGACTCATTTTAGTCAGCGATGAGGTTTTGCATGACTCGGCGACTTTGTCCAACTCCAGGAAGGAGTGCTCCGCATCATCTTGGGTCTGGCAGCGTCACGTCCTGGACATCACCACGAAGCACAGAACTGCCCAGGCCTATCTTCCCGTTGCAGTCGGAATCATCGCGCGATCTGCATCGATCAAACGCCTATGCAGCGCGCTTTGTCCGATACAAGCCGCTAATCCTCCTGCCCATACATCCATCACAAACTCCAATGAGTAGCGCAATAGCCTTGAAAGGGGTTCAAGACAACGGCGCTGATACTCCCTCATTTACTAATGGCTTCTACTGGCAGTACATCCTTACTCGAGAGTCAAAACCTTCGATCTTGCTTGCGATTCTTGCATTCTTCGGGACATTGTGCAAATAGGCGGATACCTTGCGAAAGCAGTCTTGGTCGCATCGAACTCGACCATCAGCCAGACAATCACTTTCACACCATGAAAACATACAAAGTACAAGCGTTTTACGAAACAGGCAGAGCCTTTGTCTAGTCTCCCAATTGTGTAGTGTACGATGTCACTTAGGCATCAATTCACACCTCCAACAGCAACGTAAGAGAACCCCTTACCGACCAGCAATCATGTAGCCCAACGCAGCGGTGAATAAGCAGAGAAACTAGGTGGTCTTCTACATAAGCGGTTCGAGCTTCGCCTTTCTTCATCTCTCCAGTTACTTACAACCCTACTTCAACCATGGACAAAACTCAAACTCAGCTGGTCGTCTTATTGGCAGCTATCACTGCCGGTTCAGTTGTGACTTTCGAGTACCTACGGTGGTCTGATTCACGGCTGAAGACTCAACCAGTGTCCTTAGTTGCGCAGACTACACCCGAGACTCCTCAAGTTACGATTCATCCTGGAAAGAAAGAGGAGAGTGCTCGGCAGTCTCAGGTCGATACCTCCACCAATCAGTCCGCTGTGAAAACCACAGTGGAGACTTACCCCGAAAAACCTGAAGAGGGTGGTCAGGAGTCACAAAACGATGTTTCCCCGAACCCGCCTGTCGCCGAGACCACAACACAGCGTCCTGGGGTCCCATGCCATTGCGATCCGTGCAAGGAGCACAGCCAACGGTCTCAGATGGATACCTCCGCAAATCGGCCTGCCATGATTTCTAGAGATAAGGAGAACCGAACCACACTCGATGTCCATCTCATTCAGTCGAGATTTAACTTCCAGTGCTCCTGTGACTTGCACGCAAAGCAGCTTTACTTCAACTGGCCTTGGACATGCAATTCAAAGCACAACGAGGACGACATCATCCTTCAACCCAATTCACGACCTACCCTAATCCAAGATCACGAAGATGGTATTTACGAACCCCTGTTACTGGCACACCGCACCATCGAGTACTTCTCTCGCCCCGAATCTGCCATGGACTCCAGCCAAACCGCGGCCCTTGCCCAATGGCGCAAAAGCCACGAGCGCACCCGCGTCCTCGACATGCTAGCCCAGCACGACATCCGCAACAAAGACACGCAGTTCTTAACAGATTGGGTCGTCTCGCAGCTCAACGAAATCTTCTTCTTCGGCGCAATCAAGAGCCTCGAAACAGTCTGGAACACCAATGAGCTGGACAGCGAACACGGCATACTAGGAGACGCAATTACAAAACTCAAAGACGGAAACAACCACTCGTTCATTCGCCTCCACCCAACACGTCGCTGCTACACACAATCAGAGTACAAGCGTACAGGCAAGACCCTCGCGGAAGAACGCATGGGATGCATTCTACACGAGATGCTACATATCTTCCTGGATCAACATATGTGTGAACTATGTGGTACGCCCGAAAATAGGTCTTCTCATGGAAGGGCGTGGCAGCGGATTGCAAGGAAGATTGAGGAGCAGAGCTTGCGTCTGTTGGGTATCGAGGCGGATGTAAATCGACTGTCTAGCTTTATGAATGATTGGCAGGACTACGATACTAGGGAGAATGTTAGTATTTGCGATTTGCAGGATTGGGGCTTTTGGGAGAGGCCTGAATATGACGTGTAGGGGCTGAGCGTAGACGATGGATACTGGGTAGTGTTTTTGTCTAATTGTTCGATGCTGAGCGGAGACCATACACCCTGGTCGAGGATGAGTCTAGATACTCAGATGTACTTTGATAGAAATATGGTTATATGTCTGAAATCACTTTGTTGCGATTGAATACAGTGCCAGCCGCTTCATGTTGAGTTGCTGGGATGTTCAGCCTTGCCCCGCCTCAGGGTTGGACGCACCTTCCCCTGCCGACAGATCCGCCATCCAGGAATCTAGGGCAGTCAGGGTTCTGACAAGGTTCTAGACTTCGTTAGAACACCAACATACCATCGCAACATTCTAGGCGGTAACCAATTTTGCGTTCGCCAGCTCGCGCACTCTGTTCAAGCCACGGGTTTATTTCCCTGGTTGCGGCTGGCGCTATGACGTCGCCGCCCTGTGCTCCGCGGTGCTTGTTCGATGAGCAAACGTAACCAGCCGTGCCAGCGTACTCGGAGAAGGGCACAATGGCAGCCTCTACAGACTCACCTGTTGTCACTGAACCTGAGAAACTGACTCAAATGCGCACTTACGATTGATACAACATTGTTACATCGTCACATACCTGCTAATGTAGCCTACGCACGCCGCGCTTGACTAACCGAGGCATAGCGCAACCATGGACATCGACAAAGAGTTCCGCCAGGTTGATGAGCTCGATATTGGACTGGATCGGTCACATATCACGTATCAAGGTCAGATCGAAGTAACCGGAAGTCGCTCCGAAAGTAGCAATGACGACACACCTCACTCACACGATCCGTCGCCTGTATCATCCACTAGTAGGATAGTCAACAAGGTTCGCCAAAAGAAACACATCGCCGGTGTCAAGATCAGAAAGACTTTGCATATTGCAAAGGCTGAAGATGAAATCGATGAGCCTGATCCTGATTCGCTGGTGCTGGTCGATACGACGGAAGGAAAGCAGTCGAAGTCACGTCTTGACCACAAGTCCACGGCCTCAGAGAAACATACTTTCAAGGACCTCCTACATAATCCGATTGATACTGTGAAATCTAAGGGATGGTGTCAAGGTAAGCGACCTTTGTTTCCGATGTAAATGCGAAAGCCAGGAGGAATACGCATGTTCCCACCGCGCCAGATCGAGCAGAATCCAACCTATCATAATACACGGTTTGCTGACTGAGACTTCCAGGAAACCAAGAAGTCGCAGCAAACATAGCTGTGAGCGAAGTTCCTCATGGCCAGGAAGTGGACTTGGTTAATGCCGCGGCTGCCATAGAACAAGCTACGACGACGGATGAGAAGGCGCAAGCCCAGCAAACTTTCGCTGAGATGCTCAACCAACGACAGAGCATCTATGTTCGATGGTCGCTAGATCGGCATGTGACAAAGATTAGGATCCTTCCTCGAGACACCGCAGTGCTCAAGCCCAGATCTGATTTCGAGAAGCAGGATGCGACAGGCCCCAGCGTCACTGACTGGAGATCATATGGTTCGCACTTATTGGACTACTACGCTCACCGATACGGAGGTCAATATATAGGCTACGGATCCGACCCGCCAACCCCTAGCAAAGAGACAATCATGCCGAATATCGAGCGCCTTATCGTTGCGACATCGCCTTTCCAGGAGTTCATCATGACCACGCGCCGCGTATACCGCTGGGAGAAGCCTCTCGAGACAACAAAGTACTTGGTGATCTACCTCGTCCTTTGGTATTTCAACCAACTACTACCAGGCATGATGTCAGCGCTACTGTACCTGGTTGTCGAGCGACGCTGGCACGGACAGTCCATCCAAGACCTCCGCGAAGACATTGAACACAGAGAAGACGTGGAGAGAACGGCATTATCACTTACCGAGTTTATCGAGAAACAGGGCGACGAGAACTGGGCACACGACCTGCTTCAAGACCTTGGTCCTTGGCTTATGGTTCAGCTAGCCGACCTGGCCAACTTCTTCGAAAGTGTCCGCAACTTCTACGAGTGGAGGAAGCCAATGCGCACGCTGGCTGTTATCGTCGTTATGACTGTCGCCATTCTCATCACGGTCTTCACGCCTCTTTGGCTGATCATCAAGATGTCTACATTCTCTGCTGGTTTTACCTTCTTCTGCCTCTTCCCGGTCTCGGTCAACTTTCCGAGTTACCGCCTGCTTGTCTCGCCATCTAAGCGGTTGCTCTGGAACATACCAACACACGCAGAGTGGGCAATTCAGTACATACAAGCCGAAGGCCTTCGTGTAATCACCGAGAAGCAGAACACCAACGCCAAAGCAACGAATCCAAAGTACACAAATGACCTCAACGGTTCTGTTCCACCAATAAGCCAAGACTTCGCCTCCTATCCCTCACAATTCGAAAAAACGCCAGGCCATCTCATCATCAATGCAACAGGAGTGCGCTTCGTCGCAAAGCGTCCGCCACATGAAGTCCGCTTCTCGCTGCCATATGTACAGATCAACCAATTGGAGAAGCAAGACCGATATGTGGAGAAGATGATCAAGGTCCTCAAGGAATGCGATAGAGATCTGCGTTTTCTGGATAGGAATGGCCATGAGTGGATCTTGCATGAAGTCGAGAAGAGAGACGAGGCGTTCAGTCAGATAGTCGGATTCAGTCGGACGACATGGCAGGTTTTGTGGTAGTACAGTCCATCTCTGGACATGAAAACAAGTCTCTCCTGAGAAATCTTTCTAAAATACAAACATCACCCCATCACCATCACAGTCAAACCTTCTCCACCCCACTGCCCCCCTCCACACCCACAATCGTAGCCTCGCCATTCCCCAACGTCTCCACCAACCGCCTCGGCCCAACATACCCCCTCTTCCTTATCCACACATACCAGCCCCCAAGTAAAATCGTAACCCCGCCCACCAACGCACTCGTATAATTCATCGTCGTAGTATCAAACGGCACCGCGAACGGGAAGCAGTAAATCGGTATCCACACAACCATGTACCCAGACGCTATACTCGCCACGGTGTAGAAAACGGGCGTGGGCATCGTGAACGGGCCCGAGATAACGTGGCGGCGCCGAGTCAGGATGTTGGGTAAGATGAACGCGAGGTACGACATCGACGACAGGACGATGAAGGACCCTACGAAGGCGGAGAAGGCTGTGGAGCTACCGATGTATATGCAACCGAGAACCGTGTTGATACCCCCACAAGCCAGCGTCGCATTAAACGGATTCTCCCACTTCCTATCCACCCTGCCCACCCACTTGCTAAACGGCGTCGCGTCATCCCTCCCCAGCGTCCACAGCATGCGGCCGGAAGTAATATAGCACCCGATATTCGTGCAGAACGTGGGCACGAAGATGACGAGTAAGAGGCCGAGGGACCCCCCATGCGTGTTTGTGGCCTGCCGGTAGAGTTCGGCGAGCGGGAAGGGCCAGGGGTTTGAGAAGAGCGTGTCGAGGTCGTTTACGGCGTAGAAGATTGTGATGAGGTAGAGGAGGGCGGTTAGAAAACCGACGGTGTATTGCGCGAGGATGGCTTTGGGTATGTTGGTGCGGGGGGAGGGGAGTTCTTCGGCGAGGTGCGATACGCAGTCGCTGTGGGTAATGGTTAGGAACTTGACTTCGACAGTAGTGGTGGGTTTGAGATCGATGGTGTATGGGATGGTATGGGATAAAACTCACGGCGTCCCCACAGCAAAAGCCCCATTCAACATGCCCGCGCAAAACACAAATCCATCGCTCTTCCACCCCGCCTGGTTCTGCCAATCTTTCCACACAAACTCGTTGCTCGCGTACCCTTTTCCGGTTCTACTAGGCATGATGGCGCAGACCATGATGGTAACAAACACACCCATGAGGATGAAGAAGAGACCGATGTTCGTTAGTTTAGGCAGCGCGCGATTGGCGAACATGACGACGAAGCAGGCGAGCCAGGTGATGATGAGGTAGGCGATGAAGACGTGCCAGCGCTCAAAGGCGTAGCCGGGGTGGAAGAGACCGTACATGGAGATGATTTGGTTGGCGAGGATGGAGGAGATGGATGCTGTGCCGAAGATCCAGCCTAGGGCGTTCCACCTGTGGTGTATTAGCCGTGCTCTTTTCTTGTATCATATCATTTGTTGGAGTGAGTTGGGTGATACATACCAGCCAGCGTAGAACCCGATTACCTTCCCGAACCTAGCTCCGCCTGTGACGGAAGCCCAGTGGTATACACCCGCTGATGAGGGAATCGCAGATGCCATCTCTGCGATACACGCCGCGATCATAAAGTAGCAACATGCCACGGCGATGAATTCGTAGATGACACCTGCTGGGCCGCCATTGTAGAGCGCAATGACCTAGGTAAGGTTAGTATTCTGTATCCCATGAAATCGTACCAGAGAAGAAGGTAGACGTACGATAGACCCTCCCAACGCCGCCCAAACATTCCCCGTCGTAATTCCAATCGCACAGATACTCAGTAAACTGAAATTCCTCTCAAGTTCTTGTTTGTGGCCCGACGCGTTCAGGACTTCGCCAACGCCTGTCGCTTCATCGACATCCTCCGGTCTCGACTTCTCAGCAGACTTCTTTTCCAGATCCATCTTCGGAAGTGGTAGTACAGCGTGAACGATACGCCAGTAACCGTGAAAGTTTTGCTATTGCGACGTGATGCAATGCGTAAGCAGGAGGTCGTTAATGACTGGGATACACGCAAAAGCGATAGGTACCGTCGCAACGTCAACAACCCTCCTCTCTGTCTAGCCACGGCCAACCGGAGATTAATACCACCAATCGATCAAGTCTAGACGAGTGAGCAATCGAGTGGACTCGCCGTGTCGATCGCAGATCAAACGGTCCTACGCGGGAATCGTACAACTAGCAAACGTCCCGCCCAAGAGATAAGGAAGCAAAGAACGATGGCGAAAGAAAGGACGGATGAATCTGGCTGAGAAGAGTGTAACGACACAGAGAAAGAAGGAAAGGAAATGTGCAGTTCACATCTTACTCTTATGACAGCCCGCGACTTCGCACGCCTCTATCTCTGTCGTTACGTTGAGTTGTGTCAAACACAACAGTGACATCTACACGTAAGTACGTATGCTAAGCGACGCGACAACATTTCCAAGACGGGCAGATAAAGCAGCCCTACCAGCAACCATGCAATCTCGAGTTAGTAGCTGTGTACTCAGTGCTAGATGCCGTCTCTACGCCCCGGTCACGGCCGTCACGCCAAAGTCAGACCCAACAAACCATTCCAACCCAGAAAAAGACCAGGCTACATGAGTGTAGCGAAGTGCAACGTTCGCATCCGACCATCTCCGCACTCCCGCAGCTGGAATGGATACCGTGGAGACGGGTGACGGATATCAGACATCAGGGAACACTAATCACGTTGTGTCGCATGTCGAACTGATAAGAGACCTTCAGGCGAGCGAGGTGGCCAGGGGTGTAAGATAAGTAAAGATCCCGGGGTTATGGATCCAGGAACGACCCAACCAATGAGGAGTGCAGAGTGAGGTTTGGTGGAGAGGCATCCCGGGAGATACGCGCATTTGGATGCGGAGATATCTTGGGTAACGAGGTGGCGTAAGGCGAGATAAGTGATTGAATGATTACTCCGAATTGGAGTTTGGAGGTGGATCGGGAGATGTTGGTGGAATGTTTTTTCCGGGCTTGAAGAGTCATTAGGAAATTTACAACGGTTGATGCTGTTCTCTGCTCTCCCCACATGAAGTCTGGAATGTGGGTTTGATGCGTGTTGTGACAGAACGGAAGACGGGCGTCCATCGAGCCGCTTACGCCCGCGCTATCCCCCACGCGTGCTAAGCGGCTCTGGTAGCCCTGGAGTCCTTCATTGGTCGTGCGACTTGATACCGTGCGATGCAGTGACATTGGGGCGTAAACTGAGATCTATGAAGAAACAAAGGCGTGATACGCTGACAATGGCTGTGCAATCGGGAAGTACAAATGTATTCAGCGAAAAAGAAAGTAGATTGGTCCACCCACGTCCAGTGCATTGTCACCACAGCTTTTTAGGTGACATGCGCCGGATAGGAAGACTGTAGTGACATGCGCTATATGCTATATTTCTTGTTTTGTGTTTACCGCGTAATAGGGTCAACTACAAAACAACAAACATAGCATATAACGCATGTCACTACAGCCTTCCTATGTATGGCTATATTTCTTAGATACTGTACACAAAATAAACAAACGCACCTTCAACTCCGTGTTCCCATGTCATGTCGCTCTGCCAGAGGTCCAGTGATTACATACGTTTCATCCTCATTTACGCGTGAGCGATATCCGTTTCTAGTGACATATTCAATCCATCTTCAATCCAACTCATTCTGTGTGTGAAAGAAAGTAGCAGGCTCACGCGCTGCGCATCTCGGTATCCTCGGCATCGTCCACGTCGCCAATCTTCCGCTTGCTAGGCGTTGCGCTGCCCTCGTCGCCGTTGTCGTCGCCCTCAGTCCACTCGGTGACTTCCCACTCGACGTGCACGCCGCTCTCGGAGTGTCCGCCGCGCTGCTGCTTGAAGCGGCCTAGGCGGGTGTTGCGCACAATCTCTTCGAACCAGGGCGCGCCTCGCGATTGAGGTTCTGAGCGGACGACTGTGCGCGAGCGATTTGTCCGTGAGGGTCCGGCGGCGGATGTCTCGTTCTCGTCGTCGCTGCTCTCGCTGCTGCTGGGCAGGAAGCCGAGTTCGCCGAGCATGTCTTGGTCTTCGTCGAGCAGGCTGCCGACGGTCAGGGAGATGTGCTCGGCCTCGTCTCTTGTCCGCTCATTCCACGATGAGAGCTGTGTGCCGCAGTATCCGCAGAACTGACGACGGGTGTTCGAGGTATACGGGTTGACGAAGCTGCGCTTGATGCTCAGGCGCGTCTCGTCGGGGTATTGGGCAAACGTCGCCGAGGTGTACCATGGCAGAGGGACGCGGAGCCAGAGTGTGAGGGGATTCGCTGAGTGGTGTCCTAAGTGTTGTTAGCACCGTGTTGGAGAGTAGCGCGCGGCAACCCAAAGCAGACTTGGGCTGCACAACACTCGGCGTGTACTTACGCGACGCAGAGGTATTGTCGTATCGCAGCTCGGCCTGGCGGATCTGCTGTGTCGGCATCTCAATGACATAGCGGTTGCGTCCGCACGCGCAGGAGCCGTGCAGCGTCTGTGTCGCCATTCCGGGCTCGTAGAGGTTTGGATGGAAGCGATTCGCGTGGTGTGTTCGGGTGCAGACGATGCCTCTGCCCATATAACTCGCGATTGACGTGTTTCAGTGTGTGCGGCGTGGCGTGTGGAAAGAAATCGAAATTGGCTGCTGCCCGTCGCGCCTTCCCCAGCTGTTGTGCAACGGCCCGTGCTGCGATTGGTTGACCGTCAGCCTTGTGGTATGCCGACCAAGGTTTACCCTTTCACGTCACCTGGACAACTGTAATGGCCGTGTAAGAATGAGATGGTCTTTATTTCGAGTCGGCAGCTATAGAGGATGTTCGTGATATTCGTCGCGAGGCATATGTACTGCGCCATGCAAAAAGTGACAGCCATGGACCCTCGTGATACAGCCTGTCGTCATGTGTGGGGAAGCTCGTGAGAGAACATTCGAGCACGCCCTGGCCCCTTCGCGAACCAGAACCTCGAGCTGTCGTCAACCACTCTTCTTCGTTTCTTCTTCCCTCATCCTAGCAACACTCTCGTTTACTCTCTCAATCGCCTCCCTCGCCCCATCCCAGCACTTCCTCTTGCCTGTGCTGAACACGCGATGTATGTGCGGACTCCATATCCCGCCCATCAGCAGGTTACAGAACTTCCTGTTCTGAAGCCAAAACAGCCAGCCTTTCCACCCGTATCCCAGATACTCGTTGACACCCGTACCGGCAAGATCGTCCATGGCCGCAACCCAATCACCTGTCTCACATTGCCCTGGCGACAAGTTGTAAACACGCTTTGCCGTCTCTGCTAACCACACGTGGTGTTTATCCACAGCGAGCTTCATATCCGGAAGCGAGGGTAAAGATGATTTGCCCGCCCAGACCTGGGCTATAGCCATGGTTGTCAAGTCTAACCGTCGTCAGCACATGTCTCGCCTAACCATCATACCTAGAGTCGCTCACCGAAAATCTTAAACCCACTAATCGTTATGTGTACAGCAGCCATGAACGCCAGACTATCCGGCTTCTCGAGTGAAAACACGTTCTTGTAGAGACGGAAGAGCGACTTCCCATTCGAGCCCGGCGCGTCAAGCCACGCTTGAGGCCGACATTCAGGATTGAAACGCGGCTCGATCATGCTGAAGTCGGACTTGTAGCCCGTACACCAGATTATTGCGTCCACGTCAACTTTTGTCCCGTCTTGCAACTCTACCTCAGTAGCATTCACAATGCGCTTGATGCCTGCGACTGATGTGATGCTGCCGTCCTCGAGGCAGGGGACTAACGTATCAGATACCACTGGTACCTTACTTGCGGGCTCGAAGCGCCATTCAGGGCGGATGTTGAAACTCTGATCTTGCAGTTTTTTGAGGAATTTATCGAAGAGGAACTCGCCGAGGCGAGGGACGTATGTTATGACGACGCTTTGGAAGGTGGCGAGACGTAGGTTGTGCGTGTGGTCTATCGGGACACCCTTTATGCGCCGAGGGAACTACAAGAACCGTTGTCAGTCTCAAGACCTTCGAAGATCAACAAGGTACGCTTCAACTTACAACCCGAGCTCCATGCCGATGTGCCAAATACACTTTATCTGCTATTCCCACCAGCTGAGTAGATGTATCCGCCGCACTGTTGCTGAACCCTACAACCATGACTCTTTTCCCCTTGTAGTCTGCCGGCCGTTTGAAAGCTTGCGAATGTACACTAGGTCCAGCAAACCTTTCCACGCCTTCTATGACTGGCAGACTGGCCTTACCAACCATACCCCCAATCGCTACAACAACTTTATCAAAGTACTCCTTCCCGCCACCTTTCACATCTACAACCCATTTCTCCCGCTCGTCATCGAACGTGATTTGCTCGATGGCAGTATTAAGCCGCATATAAGGTTCCAATCCGAAATGCTTCGAATAGTTTGTCAGGTATTGCTGAACCTGCGTGGCTGCTGGATGCGACGGTACGTCGTCCGGGTAAGGGAAATCAGTGTAACAAGATCGCTCTTTTGAGACGTTTACGGTTGTGGTTTGCATAACCGATGTTTGCTCTTTCTCCGAGTACTGCCATAATCCGCCGACGTGGTCGTTGCGGTCGAAACCTATGGCGTGGAAGCCTTCTTCTCGCAGGTTCTTTAATGCTACGAGCCCAGCCGGTCCTGAGAGGTTCAGTTAGTTGCTTCGTCATGTCAAGGAAGAGGTGTTCTACCTAGTCCTATGACTGCTACAGTGGGAGCGTCTTCCATAATGCTAGTCGTGATGATGCGTCCTTCGCACTCTTCGCGTACGCTTTTTGCCACCTGCTTTTCAGACCAACACAGCGATCGCACTCGACTCCGCAACAATCGTGTTATTTAGTAGATCTGGTAACCGTAACGTGATCACTCTCACGCCGAAAGCGAGTTGACCCTAGAGATCGCGTGTGGACCTTACGACCGTGTTGTTAGGCCGAGCAAGTCCGCCGCAAGTGGAAGGGACGACTAAAGCTATATTTGATGTCGCGCATTCCGCCAACACGTCTAGCTCTTACATGCTTTACCATAACACACATGATGCGCTCTCTTAGCTCTGACATCTTGGTGTGCCGAAACAGGAGAGGCTTGGGTTTTGTAATTGGCTCTTTGGCTACAAAGACGCCCGAGGCTTACGCCACGGCCAGCCCCACTCTCTCACACGCCGTTTCCCATCTCAAGTTGCTGCGCTGCTGCGGCCCTCTTGCCCACGCGTCATATCTGACAAGTTGAATCGTCTTACTGGACGTCGAATAGTGGGTTTGAGTTGGAAGTTGCGATTGGGCATCTCCCCGCATCTGAAGGCAGCAGCTTTCTGTGAGGCTGTGCAAGGCAGTGGAGTAGGTACGAATAAACAAGCTTCTAGTTCGTCCTTTACGCCTCAACTTTAAGTACGCTTTCGACAAGTTCCTCGTCTTACTCTACATCTTCAAATCGAATCAATACTGGCCTTTTGTGATTTACTTCAACTATGGCCGGCCCACCATCATACCCCGCCAATACCAACCTCACATCCAACCCACCACCCCCATCGACATCATCGCCGTCCAACGTCGCATTCACACCAAGCGCAACCTCCATCGCCGACTCCTCAGACAATGAGTTCGAGCCAACACCCGTCCACAGCCCAGGCGGTCCGCAATATGAAGATTTGCCACCATCCTACGACGAGGCCCGCGACCAAGCCGTCCACGACACCCGTCATGGCATTGCCCCAGTAGACCCCAGCCAAATCGAAGCCCACCGCATCACCACCAACGAAGGACCAAACGAGCCAGAAGTATGGGAGTACCGCGTAAGAGGCGAAGAACCAGATCCTGCAAGTGAACAGGAACAAGCACCAGACTATGCGAATCACACAAACGACAAGACCACCAGTGTTCCAGTCCAGCATGTCAGTACGAGTGAGAACATCGCTGTGGGACGAGTGCATGGCGGATCTGCTTCCTCGAGCAGCAAAGAGAAACAGCATGATCTAGCTTCTGACCTGCTCACCCAAGCCTTGGAGTTCAGCCGTGGAGAACCAGATGCAAAGGCGCAGTATGCACCGCATCTAAACCGCATCATCGCGATACCCGACCATGCAGGACCAGCAAGACGTGTAGACGAACATGTATACTTCTTAGTTGCGTACGCTGAAGTGTTGGACCGGCATTCCATCAAGCCAGCCGAATTTGCAGAGTTCTTGTACGGTCTACAAGTCCTGACTACAGCGGCGCACACAACGGCTGAAGACTTGCTTCAAAAACCGTCACATCAAGGACTCTCTTCCAGCATCGTACACGACTACATCCGAGGAGCAAATGAAGCCTTCTTCGCGCCAAGAGGCCTGATTGTGTCGTTCCGCAGCGAGACTGCGCTTCTAGACATGCTACCCATACCAGCGGGCCACAAACCCAGCGTCCTCGCCAACTTGGCCGATAAGACTGCAACGGCTGAATGGCGCGCAAGGCAATTGTATCCTTGGATCGAAGCTCTCGACGCTGACGCAGTGCCGATGCCGAGTGAGAGAGTGCTCAAGCTGCATGAGATGAGTGAACGTTTCGCAGGTCCGACGACGGCTACTGGCTCGCCTGATTATGCCGGAAACAGCGGTCTTGGATCTGCTGGTGCATATGAAGAACCACCTCACTCCATCCCCGGACCTCCAGAGGAATCCTCCCACGCACACGGTCGACACGGACGAGGCGCCCATCATCCCCGCGGCAGACGAGGCGGTCACTGGTCGCCGTTTGGTATGCCAGGCCATGGCCCCTTTGGTGCACCCGGTAACGGACCTTTCGGCCAACCCGGCAATGGCCCTTTCGGGCGCGGCGGTCGAGGACCTTTCGGACCCCGCGGCAACGCCTTCTTCGGTAGAGGAGGTTGCTCCGCTCGCGGCGGACGAGGACGCGGACGCGGGCGCGGACCACCGTCGTCCGCAAACGAATGGGCGGAAGTAGGCAAAGAATTAGGCAAGATTGGGGAGCAATTCGGTAGACATATGGGGGATCTAGGTGTGGAGATTGGGAAGCGGGCGAGTGCTTTTGGGGTGGAGGTGGGGAGGATGGCTGGGGGGAATGCTGGTGGAAGTGGAGGTGGAAATGCTGGTGGAAGTGGAAGTGGGAATGCAGGTGGAAGTGGAAGCATGAGCATAAGTGGAAACAGAGGGCCTACTACCTCAGGTCCAACTTCTCACCAACAAGCCCACGACGACCTTCCACCTGCTTATGCTGCACCGCCAGGACAGGAGACGGGCGTGCTATATGGCGACCGTAAAGTCGATACTGGATACTCGGCCGACACGAAAGAAAAGGGTAAAGCTGCGGTCAAGGACGTGGATGAAGACGACGATACCTCCTCATTGTCATCAGATAGTTCAGACTCGGATTCCGACTCCTCGGATGACGACTACGACTCCGACTCCTCCATCACCCCCGCCACAACCCCCAAAGCGCAATCCCTCAGACTCGCCCGCCGTAACATCAAGCAGCGAAACCGCGAGCTCAAGAAACAACACCGCCTCAGGAAACGCGAGTTGAAAGCCAAACACGCTGATACCAACACCAAGGGCAAAGGCAAAGCGGCGAAGAAAGCGAAGAAGGATCCAGAGTACAAAGCAGCGAAGAAAGAGTATAAAGCGCAGAGGAAGGAACTGAAGAAGGAAAGACTGGCTGTGAAGAGGGAGTGGCGGGATGCGAGGGAGGAGATGAAGAGGGAGAAGAGGGGGGTGAAGGGTATGGCTGCTGGGGGGATGTCGAGAGGAGGAGGAGAAAGGGAGGGAGGAGGAAGAGGAGGGAAGGAGGGCGTTTGGTTGGTGATTGAGAATTTGGCGCCTTGAACGGTAGCGAGACTGGAATAAGTGTGTGGGATGGTGGTCTGTGAGAATGCTGTCTATTACAGCTATATAACACGAAGTCATAACGGGATAGCAGGAAAGTAAAGAGTGTGAAATGTACTGAGTCTGTGGGGTGTTGGGGTGTAAGGATGATGATAAATATATATATGTAGACTGCGTTGGGATTGCCAGACCACAATCACACTCCTCCACATCAAAAACACAGAATCAATTACATACACCAGTGTACACACCACGAGCATTTTGAAAAAGATCTTGTCAAAATACAATCCGGTCAAGTACTTCATACAAAAAACTACAATAGTAACCTATGCCGTCTAAAAACGCTTTCACAGCAATCATCTTACTATGCACATACTTCCATCCCCGTCAGGCCCTGCTTATGAAAGCATCCTGCTCATATCATTCCTAATCCTGTTGTAATCGAGCAGACCCTCAATCTGTCCCACAGCCGAGACAGCGACGTCCTTGTCCCACAGCCTGTTGCGGGCGAACTGCATAACGTCCTTCTCTGTGATGCGGCCGACGACGCGCTCCACCTCCTCGGGTGATAACCGGCGGCCGGTGGTGACGATTTGGCGGCCAATGTCCTCGGCGACGGCGGTCGTGCCGTCGAGGGCGAGGAGGATGGAGGCCTTGAGTTGGGCCTTGGCGCGCTCGACTTCGGCGGACGTGACGTTCATGGAGAGGCGGGACCACTCGCGGAGGGTGAAGTGGACGAGGTCGTCGAGCTGAGTCAGGTTGGAGCTGGTGAGGTAGATTCCCCAGAGACTAGGTTTGTTAGCGAATATTTATACTATTCATTTCGGTATGACGTACCCAGTGTCTGAGTAGCTGGTGGAGAAGCTCATGAAGCTGTTGGCGAGGGCGTTTTGCGAGACAAAGTTGCTGAGCTTGCTGCCAAGGTAGTCGGAGGTACCCATGGCACGGTCCCAGTTACCGACGATAGCCTGTGTGACGAGCGCGGTGAAGTAGTCGGGGTCGCTCCAGCTGACACCCTCAACGGCAATGGCGATGTTGGCGGTGCCCATGGTGTCGTCACGGAGGCGGACCTCGGAGCCGATGAAGTCGGGCTTTGCCTTTTGCTCAGCAGCGGCGGACTTGGCGGAGTAGTCCTGGGGCTCCGAGGGGAGGTTGGCGAAGTACTTCTCGGCGAGGTCGACCAATTGCTCGTGGGGGATGCCGCCAGCGCCAACGAGGACCATGCGGTCAGCGGTGTAGTTGGTCTTGATGTAGTTCTCGAGATCGGCGCGCTGGATGCTCTGGATGTTCTCCTTGGGTCCGAGGATGGTGCGGCCGAGGGGCTGGCCCTGGAAAGCGGTGGCGTGCAGGTGGTCGAAGACAACCTCCTCGAGCTGCTTGTCCACCTCTTCCTGTTCGCGGAGGATGACATCACGCTCGCGCTCGATGGCCTGGGCCTCGAGCTTGGAGTTCTGGAGGATATCGGAGAGAATGTCGACGGCGGCGGGGACATCGTTGTTGAAGGCCTTGGCGTAGTAGACGGTGTTCTCGCGCTGTCTTGGTCAGTATCCGGCCCTGGGAATTCTTCGTTCCGTATGACGTACCGAGGTGTAGGCGTTGAGGTGGCCGCCCATGTTTTCTATCTCGAGCTCCAACTGCTGCTGTGTGCGCTTCTGGGTTCCCTGTGCCATGCATCAGCGTGCTGTCCCGGCCATTGCCATTGAGTGTCCGTACCTTGAAGGCAAGGTGCTCGAGGAAGTGGGCAGTGCCGTTGGTCCTGTCCGTCTCGGCGCGGCTGCCAGCGTCAATCCAGACACCGACTGTCGAAGTCTGGGCCCACGGGGAGTGCTCGGTAGCGATCTGCGCAGTCGGGTCAATTGCAGTCCTGCATCCTCGTACAGTGGCGGGCATACCGTGAAGCCGTTTCCGAGGGTGGTCGACTCGGTCTTCGCGCCGTAGGCCACGGGCGTGGCCAGGCCGCGGGTCAGAGGCGAGGCCCGCGATGATTTGACGGCGTTGATGGCGGAGCGCGAGCGCAGGCTGCGCTGCAGGTTGAGGGCGAGCTGGCGGGAAGCCATTGCGTCTGCTCGCGGTGCAGGGGATGGGAGATGGGGCGGTGATGGGTTGGGGTGGATGTCGATACGTCCAGCTGCAGCGCGGCCTAGGTGAGGTGGATGAGTTTCGTCAAATCTGCGATCACGGGACTTTCCGGCTCAAACCGCTGGCCAATGAGGGCGGCAGGGACGTCAGCAATCGACATCCGAGGCATTGTCGTCAACTACGACTGCGATCCCGATATTGCTTCTTGCGACCTCCACGACCCCAAGCAGACAATCAGACTGCACAATGGCCTCCGTCATGCGTCCCGGCCTCCTCAGGCAAGCTTGCCCGCCCGCCCAGCCCTCGCAGCGCATGCTGTCCACCGCGACCTCGACCCTCAACCGCCCGCTCGCCCAGTCGCTGCGACCAGCATTCCAGCGCTCAGCCATCCCCCAGTCGACCCGCATCGCCGCCTTCCACGCCACACAGCGCAACCAGATCCTGCCGCCGCTGCCCCAGAAGATCATCGGAACCACCAACGACCCCGTCCCCGTGCCAGACCCCGACTACGCCCACGGCAGCTACCACTGGAGCTTTGAGAGGATCGTCTCGGCCGGTCTGATTCCCTTGACCATTGCGCCCTTTGCTGCTGGATCGCTGAACCCGCTGTCCGACTCCATTCTCTGCGCTCTTCTCGTAGTCCACTCGCATATTGGCTTTGAGTATGTAGATCGAAATTGTATCTTGAGTTACAGTGGCTAACATATCACAGGTCCTGCATCATCGACTACTTCCCCACCAAGCGTGTTCCCCTCGTTCGAAAGTCCGCCATGTGGGCTCTCCGCGCCGGAACTGTCGCATTGGGTCTTGCCCTCTACTCTTTCGAGACAAATGACGTTGGCATCACCGAGGCCGTCGCGAGGTTGTGGCACGCATAGATACATCTTGGGATTTGTAATACAAATGCAGAGGCAGGGCTTTTTTCTGATTGAATTGTCGTATTGTTTGGAGTGTTGTGATGGCTCTGCTTGTCGTTGTGCTTAACCTCACCAGCCTTCATCATTCTAACCCCGCCCTTCTACAGACTTATCGAGACGGGGTCTTTGCGACCTAGGAGATACAGACTCGTCTTTCTTGCATGTCCACTGAGAAGACATGATGAGCATAGAGATCGGCTTATTTAAGTGTGTACTGCTATTCGCCACTAAGGTTTTGGTCCGACTGATGATCAATTCATTGACTATGGCTTAGACAAGTCCAGCTTACATTGCGCCGTACTGTGATAGACAGGACTCTCCTCCAGACCCCACCGGACGCCCCATCTGGTGTTCATGCTAACATCATACCAGCCACGCGATTGTTAACTGTTGTTGATACTCTCAGCGTGATCATCTCCTCCCACCTTATACAATGGAAAAACTAAACACTATGGAGCCTACGTTGACCTTAGGCTACCTACTTTGTATGTTTTTACCTTGATGTAGGCTCCAGGGTGTTCGGTTTTTTCCTAGGCTGACGTGCTCCGTGCTACCGCTGCTTACTTAGTCTCAACCTTCCATTGCTCCCAGTGCGTCTTGTCTGGGTTGAAAACAATTCCAAACAGCTCTTCAATCCCCTCCATATCCACTTCGAGCTTTCCTTCGTAATCCTCGTGCAGTGCACCATAATTGCCGTGGACGGTGTCGTATACCTCAACCATGATGATGTCCGCTTCTTGCTCGTTCCGCACCCCCAGAAAACCTGTCTTCCTCGGTCCAAGAAACATCATCGGCGCCCAATTTTGCTCCGCCATACGACAGCATCCTGTCGGACAGAACGCATTCGTCAAATCAAACTCTAGGTAGTTCATACGCTTAAACTCTGGGCCCCCACCGTATTTGAAGAAACGATAAAGGTCCTCGATGTAACCATCCAAATCACCGTTCAGATAACTCAGAGCTCTCTCATGCGCAATTTGAAGACGAGCCGCGGGAGCTAGGCTGTCGAAATCGGCCTCCTTTTTCCAAGTGGAACGATCGAGAACGGGAAAGCCTTTGATAGAGCGCCAACTGAAGCCCATGCTGATACTCTTGATCAGACGGGGAGCTGAAGCTGAGAAGAGCCACCGATCTGGGAAGGGTACATGCGTGCGGGTGATATCCACGCTCTTAGTGTTGTGGCAAAGACCTGATCCTGCAAATGGTTGTCTTTTCGTGCTTTCATCCGGTAGTACAAATAAGTTGTTGGCTAGGTAGACTTCCTCAGCCTCGCCATGAACCTGCTTGCAAGTGCGGAGGATAGCCAAAGACGGAGCCTGAAGATGAGTGTACGAAGTCAGTATTTGTTTCACATACAGTTCGTACATGGGTATTACTAACTCGATAAGACTCCCAGTCCTCGAAGCGCTCCTCGTTTTCGACAGCGTACGTGTCGGGTGTATAGAAGACCTTGCCAACAATCACTAGCTCGTCATACACCATGACTCGAAGTTCAACAGGCAAATCGAGGAACCGGAATGGCGTGAAGACAGTCGTATTCTGAGACGTGGTCGTGGTCGTTGTGGTAATTGTGGTTATGGTTGTCGTTGTCTTTGTAGTTGTGAATCCGGCGTGATCGGTGGCCTGGACTGACTGCAGTGAGGTCACTAAGTCCATGGTCGTTGCTTGTACTGCTGTTGACTTGGGTAGGGGAATACGTTCCTGCTGCAATGTCCAGGCAAAGTCGATTCCGAACAGTGTGGTTGTCCGGGTAAGAAGTAGAGGAAAGAAAGGCCAGTCTTATGACAGGCGTAGTAGCCTAGCATTACTTAATGAAAGGCGATACAGATACCCAGAGTGGTCCGTGTGCGGAAGAATCAGGCAGACGATTAGGAAGGAGTTCGTCTTACTTCTTGCCCTGATTAGCTTTCCTTGTTCTGCTACAGACCCAGTATTTACCTAGGTAGCACATCCGCCTGGGCCAGGGACTTCCGTCATTCGTAGGGTTCAAGGTCGTCGTATTGAGATCAGTCCTAATTCTTCTAAAGGATTGACTTGCTCTATTCCGATAGGTGTACTCAACACCTCTGCTGTGCATTAGTGCTCGATACCTCGGAAAGACGCATGTCCCACTGCGCGATGCAGTCAGAGCGGGAGCCTTTATCCTCGCGTTGCCAGTGCCACGCGAGCCTTGAGTACAGTCGCGAGCTAATGTGTGGGCGCACGAGAGTGAAAGAGTGAGAAAGAGAGGAAGCTGCGACCACAGCCCATCCTAACCGCGTGCGTGACGTGACGTTAGCGGTACAATGAGGAAAGAGCGCCCAGTCAACAAACAACATTAACTTCACGCCTTGCACAACACCCCAGGTAGAAGCGGATATCTTTGATTATAAGTCTTGAAGAGAATGTAGGAACAGCAAAAGAGCCAGAACTTCGATAGCCACCATCCAGCCACACTCTAATCGCAAAATACGGCATACTGAACCAACGAGACTAGGCAGGAAGAACGGTATAGTGGTATAGTGGTATAAAGGCGAAGACACCAAGGTAAAGGATGTAGACAGGATTGAGAATTTGGAGTCTAAACAAAGCGCACCCGGGGCCTGAAAGTCACACCTAGGATATACCCTCTCATGCCACTACTGTAGAAAATGATGAGTCTAGCCATCATTGACCGTTTACCAAGATGCACCAATAACCACTAACCCCTGCCATTTTTGCGTCTGTTATCGGTTTTTCGGATTTATGCCTTGGCGTCGGCGGGAGCCTCGCTGCTCTCAGCCTTGGGCGCGTCGGTGGCGGGCTCGCCGGCGGGGGCGTCACCGGAGGGCTCGGCCTCGGACGATGTCCAGAGGGTCTAGATGGGTCAGTATGCTTGAGTGAAGAAAGACTTGGGGTGAGCTTACAAGGTTGTCACGGAGAAGCTGCATGATAAGGGTAGAGTCCTTGTAGCTCTCCTCAGACAGGGTGTCGAGCTCTGCAGATTCATTAGCCTTGTTCAGAACGACTACTTCGTCCTTCACATACCAGCAATAGCGTCATCGAAAGCCTGCTTGGCGAGTTGGCAAGCCTGGTCGGGCGAGTTGAGGATCTCGTAGTAGAAAACGGAGAAGTTCAATGCGAGACCGAGACGGATGGGGTGGGTAGGAGCAAGGTTGGAGGCAGCAACGTCGGTAGCAGCCTTGTAAGCCTCGAGCGACTTGTCGGCAGAGGTCTTGCGCTTGTCACCAACGGCGAACTCGGCAAGGTAACGGTGGTAGTCGCCCTTCCTGAAAAGACACGGCGATTAGCAAACTGGCTAGTCAAATGCACGTGGCGCCTTACATCTTGTGGTAGAAGACCTTGGACTCTCCGCTCTCAGCAGAGGGGATCAGGTGGCTGTCAAGGCACTCGAGGATGTCCTCGCAGATCTTGGCCAGCTCGGCCTCGATCTTCTGGCGGTACTCCTTGATCAGAGTGACCTGGGTCTCGTTGCCCTTGGACTCCTCCTTCTGCTCGATCGAGGTGACGATTCTCCAGGAGGCGCGGCGGGCACCGATGACGTTCTTATAGGCAACGGAAAGGAGATTTCGCTCCTCGACGGAGAGCTCCTGGTCTGCGGAGGCAACGGCCTTCATGTTCTCGACCATCTCTGTCACATGTCGTTAGGACACGATGCGGTGCGTTGTTTGTAGTGCGCTTACCCTCGTAACGCTCGGCCTGCTCGGCCAGCTTGGCCAGGTACACGGAGTCTTCGTAACCCATTGTGATGTGTGGTCTGTGCAAATCGCTGTTAGCTGATGTAAATCGAGTTGAAGCGCGCGACAAGTGCAACCAGTGGCTATCGCAGTTGCTCAACAGCGAGCAAGCCCCTCAATGTGCGCTATGGCCGTAATCGGAGAAAATGTCGTTTCGCTGCCGTTGTCGACTGTTCGCTGGCTGTCCTGTTTGTGTTGAGGACTCGGAGTATGCGGCAAGTGGAGATGTGCCAATTGCTTGCGTGGACTCTACACCTCACAACAGAGGCGCAAAGAGGGGCGGCTCGAGCTACCACGGGTCTCCGAAAAGAGCGCCGATACACGACACCCACGACAACAGCGGCCGAGCGACTTGAGACGAGCGATTTCGACAGCCGGCCATGCTGATGGGAAGAGCGGGCCTTGTTTACTGCGGCTGGGGGCGCAAATTGCAGCTGTCCGCGGATTCGGGGGGAGTGACGAAATGCAGTGGAGCAGCACTTACGTAGAGAAAAGTTGGTATGGAGAGGGAATGTAGGCTGCTAGAGGCGGCGATGTGGTGTTGGCAAGAAAGTGAAGTGCAGATGTTTTGGTCAAGGGCGGCTTGTGGTTGAGTTATCAGAGGAGGGGACTTGAGAGGGAGAGAACCCGACCAGTTGACTCGTCTTGGCGTCGATCACGCCTGCCTATCCTTGGTTTCACACGGCCCAGAACTGGCGCGACCTTCTATTCTGACAGGCGAACACCATCCGCCACCGCCTCAGCGGCCCCTTCCTGGCCTGAGTAGTACCTGCTGTTGTTTACAGGCTTGCAGAGTCGCCTTGGAGACGCTGTCGTCGAGTCCCTGAACAACATGCCCCGCAGTACACCCTTTCCATGACAGCTACAAGGACCGGGCTTCACTACGAGCATTGGGCATCACGTTTGGCCTTGAGCAGCGCACATTGGCTCTGCCTCGACAATGGATGCGATGACTGTGAACACGCCGAACATACGTTGAACGAAAAACATGCCATGCTGTTCGGAGAGCCTTGGGGTCAAGACCATGTTGTTGCAATCGTTGTAGTGATACAGACCCCGAAGTCTTCTTGTCACATGGTGCTTGTTGTGCTTTTTATGCTGAAGCAACTTTCACAATTCAACAACACATCGACAGACGTGTCTCCAACGTTACCCCTCCGGTCTTCCCAGATATACAGGCGTATTATGCTAAGAGGTCATGCGCGTACCAAACTGTCGAGTGGGCCAGGCAACGATGTTGAGACCCTTCGAAATCACGTGGCGATGACGCACATGTACGTCCAAGCTCCCATGTCTTCCAGATGTCGAGCCATCACTCCACCTCAGCATACCAATTGCATATAACCACCCAACACCCAGCATCTCATCTCTCTACCGATCCGCCAAAATGCTTCGCACATCCATCATCAAGAGCGCGCGCTCAATTGCCGCTCCTCGCTACTTCTCCGCCTCCGCCCTCCGCATGGCTGAGGGATCCACCGGCTCTGGAGCTTCAAGGGCTACTGGTGCCGCTGGCGGGTGAGTCTATGCTCATGAACTGTAAATCCTATATCCAGACTAACCGGTATTGTAGTGACGCCTTCACCAAGCGCGAGGCTGCCAGCGAAGAGCTCTACATCCGCCAAGAAGAGAAGGCCAAGTACGTACTCCAGCTCTCTATATCCCGATATCCCGATGATTACTTCGCACCGTTTCAGACCGAGCAACGATCCGGTACAACGTTCTGTCATAGTACAACGTTCTGACAACAAACAGGCTCCTCGCAATCAAGGACAAGCTCAAGCAGCAAAGGCAGCATATGGAGGATCTGGACAAGCACATGTCAGTAATCATAGCTTGGCGAAATACACGACTAACAACAACACAGTGACGACGTCATTGCTGAGTCTGAGCGCTCCGGCCAGGGCGAGCAAAAGTGAGCGCGTAGCGGGTGCTCCGGACGAATATCGCGGGCCGACCCATACGTCGTGTTATACTTGCTATGATAAACAATAAAGATATCGAAAGAACATAAACTTGGCAATTGGGCTGTTGGACTTCACGGCAGATGCTTGCGTTATCTCGTACTTGCTTCTTCATCTCGTCCTTGTTCGTGTCAGAGAGAGCATGGGTCTGAATACTTCAAGGTCTCCTTCCCGGCACATATGTGGGCCTGCCATCTCAACACTCGCACCTGCCACTTTGAGGCTTGATGGGTTCTTCACCGCAGGATGCTCCAAAGTTGCCCTTTTCGTTCAGTGTGCATCTGTACATCTGTACATCACGTTTCAGTATACATCAAGCGAAGTACTACCGAACGACCACGGAAACTTTCGGTATCACGCGGAAGTGCGTCATTCGCTCTGATTCGTTCGAGTAGGTCGTTTCTCGGATTATTACAACGTCAGCTCATCGAAGATCTGGAGACCGCGGGATCCACTACATGGATACAGCCCGGGATACTCCAGCCACCACCCCGCTCGAGGCTGGATCACAACTCGATATTTCCCGTTTTGTTTTTCTGCCGCGAAGGATCTGACGACAACACATCCTCGTATTCAGGCCCGCTGCTCCAGCCTCCGATATCTGGAGCAAGTGCTTACGCAGCCTCGCGCAAAGTCTGTCATCGCACAATCGGCCGGAGAGCGGAGAACGTGACTCCCTTGCGCCGACCTAGAACATAGTTCACTGCCGTGTGATACCGCTGCATCGGTATGGTCGATCGTGAAATTCGGTCATCTCTCCAGCCGCATTCGCAGTGTCGAATATAGACTTTACTCCTTTTTTGCGAACATGCCGACTGTATGAACGCCTGACTGCCTAGGCCTCCAGACCGCCGTCATTGTTAGCCCATTTCAAACGCCTTCCGTGTTCACGCAGCTAGGCGTTTTACTTTTTCTAGCGAAACAGGTACTTGGGCTCGTACTCGTGCGTGCCGCAGGGATCCCACTAGCACGTGTG